TCCTCCTCCTCCTCCTCCTCCTCCTCCTGCCTCCTCCTCCCCCTCCTCCTCCTCCTCCTGCCCCCTCCTCCTCCTGCTCCCTGAGCGGTGCAAGGTGCCAGGTTGCGCCGTGAGCGCATGGGGCCCCTCACAGTGTGTTCGCCTTCTCCATCTCGGCCGTGCCCTGGAGGAACAGCCCGGTGATGTGCGGTAGCGTCCCGGAGGACTACAAGCCCGTGGTGTTCTTGTTCGGTGCCCAGGCAGCGGCAGAAGCGGGGGCGGGGAGGAAGCCATCCCACCGTTGCCCAGTTGTCGCCCTGCTGGGCCTCTTGGGAGGCCCTCGTGGCCACCGTTGGATTCGCGTCGGGATGCTGGTCAGTACGCGCCCCAGGGGAGGTCTGGTGCCGCTGCGCGTGACGGTGGTCGGGGGGGACGTGTGGCTCAGACATATATTCGGAGCTCCGCACGGATGTCTTGGATCTGCACTGGGGCCTCCCTGGCAGAGGCGCCTTCGGCGCCGCCCCTGGCGCGCTCCGCACGCCAGGGAGGATGTCCAGCACCGATTCAATAAATCCGCGGGGAGCTCCGGGAGTTTTGTTGGTACAGTGTCTTACACGTTGCCATTCCCCCTTTTTTATCCTCCTCGCCATCCTTCCTCGTCGTCGTCCTCCTCCCTCCTCCTGCTCCTCATTCTCGTCCCCAGCATGCCCCTGCTCCTCCACTTCCTCCTCTCCCTCCTGTCGCCTCCACAAGCACGGCCTCCTTATCCCCCTTCGTCTTTCCCACCGCCCACCTCGCGTCTCCAGTTATGTCGGGCATGTCCATCTACAGGAGGAATATTCGAGAGTGGAAAAATAGTCTGGGGACGATATGTCGTGCTCTTTTGAGTATTGTTGGTTCTTGTTGTACTATGTGTTCCCTTGCTCGTCCAAAATCCGCCTGTAGGAGGACGTGCCCGACCAAAAGATCGGCGTCTCGATGTCGAGTGGTTCCGTTCCGCGCACCTGTCGTGCCCTAAGCTTTCCTCCGCAGCGCGACTCGGCGCATCCCCAGCTCCGCGCAGAGGATCAGCGCGCCTGATGGCGCGCTGCCGGCGGTCGGCGCGGGAGCCTCCACGAGGAGGGGACCCAATGTTTGTTTCAGAGGAGGGGAAGATGAGGGAGGCCGCCAGGTCACCATCCTACATCCTGAGGAGGGAAAGGTGCTCAGCGCTTTCCTCCTTCGTCTCCTCGGCTCCCCGTATCCTTCTCCAGACGTCGCGCTGGGGCAGGTAACACGGCAGGCATGTCCTGTTCAGGGTGTCTCGGTACCTTCGATGGTGATGGAGATAGAGATGGAGATGGTGATGGAGATGGTGATGACGTTTGTGATGACGATGGTGATGGTGGTGATGACGATGATGATGATGATGATGATGATGATGATGATGATGATGATGATGATGATGATGATAAGGAGGAGGAGGAGGAGGAGGATTAGGATGAGGATGAGGATGAAGATGAGGATGAGGATGTTGTTGGTGCTACTGATGATGATGGTGATGATGATGATGGTGATGATGATGATAGTGATAGTGATAGTGATAGTGATAGTGATAGTGATGGTGATGGTGATGGTGATAGTGATAGTGATTGTGATGCTGCTGTTGATGGTGATGATGATGCTGATGCTGATGCTGATGCTGATGCTGATGCTGATGCTGATGCTGATGATGATGATGATGATGATGATGATGATGATGATGATGATGATGATGATGATGATGATGATGATGATGATGATGATGATGATGATAAGGAGGAGGGAGGAGGAGGAGGAGGAGGAGGAGGAGGAGGAGGAGGATTAGGATGAGGATGAGGATGAAGATGAGGATGCTGGGGAGGACGGTGCCCTCGCCAGCAAGCCCCTCTCCTGCTGCCCCCCCCCCACCCCCTGGCCGCGGGGAGGTGGACTTCCCCGCCCCCGTGAAGAAGCTTCGGCCTCCGAGGCGCACCGCCCGGGTGCTGGAGGAGGAGTTGGAGGAGGAGTTGGAGGAGGAGGAGGAGGAGGAGGAGGAGGAGGAGGAGGAGGAGGGACGAAGTCGAGGGGGAGGACGACGAGAAAGATGGCGAGGTTGCAGGACGAGGAGGAGGAGGGATGTGAGGAGGAAGGCGAGAAGGGAGAGGAGGGATGAGGAGAACGACGAAGAGGAGGACGATGAAGAGGTGGAGAACAGGGAGGAAGTCGAGGAGGAGGATGGATGAGGGAGGAAGAGGATGAGCGAGGAGGAGGACAAGGATGAGGACAACGAAGACGAAGACGAGGAGGAGGTCGAGGAGAAGGATGGACGAGGGAGCAGGATGAGGAGGAGGTCTTCGCAGAGGAGGAGGAAGAGGAGGAGGAGGAGGAAGGGGAGGAGGAGGAGGAGGAGGAGGAGGAGGAGGAGGAGGAGGTGGAGGAGGTGGAGGAGGTGGAGGAGGATGCGCGCGGTCGGCTATAGGGTGCTCGCGGTCGGCTACGAGTTCACGCGGGGGCGCGCTTGCGCCGGTGCAGACGCGGGCGGAGGCGAGGAGACGGGCGGAGGGAGGGACGTGGCGACGAGAAGACGAGGAGAGGGGGAGATGGAGGAGAAGGAGGAGGAGGAGGAGGTAGAGCAGGATAAGCTGTTGGATAAGCCGGAGGGGGGCACGGTCCCGCCTCGATCGACCCGAGCCGTCTGACGGTTTTCAGGAGTGCGTGGGGTGAAACCCGAGGGTGGGCACGCGATCGCTTGCCTCCGCGCTGGTCGCTGGAGAATGAAACTCGAGGGGGAAGAGGGGGGGATATGGAAGCAGAGAAAACTTTCGGTATCACTTCTTACACCGTCGCAGACGAATTCTTCGCTCCTACACAGTAGAGATTCAGTGTGAACCGAGACTCAAAACGCGTAATCTCGTGAGGCACTCGAAGTACTCTCTCGCGGCTCCTCCAGGAGAGCACTACAGCGTTGCTCTCGCCCACTTTTGCCCCTTGGCCAGGTCAGCGTGTACCTTGCGGTCCAAGTTTTCATGTTCGCTGGGATGCTGCGAATCGCAGATTCACATTTCGAAGCCGTGGTTTTAGACATGCGATGTCGAATCTGATCTAGTCCGTTCTCACGGCTAAATTCGCCCTCGCGATGAGGACCGCATGTTAGTTGGCAGTGGTTGGGTGCACGGCTATACCCGTCGCATGGGCCACGAGTAATTATGTGTTCTTCGGATTTGAACCTTTAGCGGACGGCTTCATTAGTGTCAACCGTTTGGTTACATTGCCAGGTGCGTGACAATATCCAGGTGCTTGCGGCAAGTCCCGCAACCGTGCCAGTCTTGCAGTCTCGGTGGCAGCTGTTCGAACCGATGCGGACGATGAAGATGATGAAGATGGGATGATGAAGATGATAAGGGAAGAATGAGACGGACTGTGGCGGACGATGGGGATGACTAGCATGATGATAGTGTGATGATGAGGAGAAGGATATGATGAGGATGATCAATGTTGTGATGACCTGGCTGAAGATGAGGATGATGACGACGATGATGCGGATGGGGATGATGATAATGCTGAATGTGTGGTTGCTGTTGTTGTTGACGACGATGATGATGCTGATGATGATGATGACGATGCTGATTGTGATGATGATGTTGTTGCTGATGATGGTGATAATGATGACGATACTGATAATGATGATGATGCTTATGATGATGCTGATGATAATGATATTGATGCTGTTGAGGATGATGATGGTGGTGGTTTTGGTGGTGATGCTGATGATGACAATGCTGTCTATGATGATGATGATGATGATGATGATGATGATGATGATGATGATGTTGATGATGATGATGAGTATGCTTATGATGATCATGATGATGCTAATGATGATGATGATGATGATGATGATGATGATGATGATGATGATGATGGTGATGATGGCGATGGCGATGACGATGATTATTCTGATGCTGTTGATGATGATGGGGTGGATGATGGTGCGGGTGGTGAAGAAGATGATAATGATGATGCTGATGCTGATGCTGATGATGACTATGATAGTGATGATGATGCTGTTGATGATTATGCTGATGATGATGCTGCTGCTGATGATGATGATCATGCTGCTGCTGATGATGATGATGATGATGTTGATGATGATGATGATGATGATGATGATGATGATGATGATGATGATGATGATGATGATGATGATGATGATGATTATTGTATTATTACATTGCATCCGGAGATGGCGTTCAAATGTCACAGGCGCAGGTCAAGCAGGTCAGCGCAGGTCAGCGCAGATCAGCCGGCGCCCTGATCACCTTTGGCGGCCTCAGTCCCGTTTGGCTCTGATGGTCCTGCGCCGACCCGCGCTGACCTGCGCTGATTTGCGCCTTCGAGGGCTTTCGCAAGAGTTTCTGACCAGCATGTCCAAGGAGCTATTCCACAGAGGCCTCGGGCTCGTTCCACTGAGCCGCAGGGCTGTTCCACCGGGCCCGCTTCACAGAAGCTCCGTTCCACAAAGACCTCGGGCGTTCCACACAGGCTCTGGTCACGTTTCACCCTGGGCAGAGACCTCAGGCCGCCCTTTATCGGAAGCCTCGGAGTTCCTTCCACAAAAAGGCCCCGTGAACATCGACAAACGCCGCGGGCCCGTTCCACAAAAGCTCGGTTCCGCAAAGACCTCGGGCGTTTTCCACCTAGCACGCGAACCCGTAGGTGGTCCTCCGCGGAACGACCATGAAAAAGCTCACTACTGGACGGGGCTTGCCTAGCAGGTGTCTGCAACCACGACTATAGGAAACGAAACTACTGGACAAGGCTGGCCTGCCAGATTTTTCGAACCCAAACTACGGGAACGCGAATTACTGGACAGGGCTAGCCTCGCAGGTTTTCGAATCAAGTCCAGGGGGATTCCAACTACTGGATACGACGTGCCTAGCAACTTTTTCGAACCAGTCGCATGGCGGAACAAAAACTACTGGACAGGGCGTGCCTAGCAGGTTTTTGGAGACAAGACTATCGGAAAGCAAACTACTGGAGAGGGCTTGCCTAGCAGGTTTTCCGAGCCATCACCATGGGAAAACAAACTCCTGGACAGGGCTTGTCAAGTAGGTTTTCCGAGCCAAGACCACGAGAAAGCAAACTACCGACCAGGGCTTGCCGAGCAGGTCTTTCGAACCAGAGTTTTTGGAAAGCAAACAAGTGGGCAGGGCTTGCCTAGCAGACTGCTCCAAACCAAGACCATGGGGAACCAGTGTGCTGGACAAGGCTGGATCATCAGATCCTGCGGTGGAGGCCAAGGATCTCTGTTGCAAGGTGGAGTCTGAGCGCTTCTTTTGGGAAAACTTCGAATTTGGTCGCGGCGGTGGGCCTCGACCGAATCCACAGTTTTCCTACATCAAACGCTCAGACCTCGTGGTAGAGTTCAAGGGCCCCGCGCTGTGGAATCTGAGCGCTGGTTTTCAGAAAATGCGAATTCGGTACCGGCGGTGAGCTGCGACCCAATCCCTTTTTTCCAAGATGAAGCGATCAGTTCCTGTGGTGGAGAGCAAGGATCTCCTGCTGCAAGGCGGAGACTGAGCGCTTCTTCTTCTTGTCGCGGCGGTGGGCCTCGACCTACTACACCGGTTTCCAAGATGAGGCGCTCATATCTGTGGTAGAGTTCAGGGATCCTTGTTGCGACGTGGGTTTTGAGCGCTGCCTCTTCAAAAACTGCGAACTGTGTCGCGGTGATGACTTGCGACCTAATCCACAGTTTCGAAATATGCGACGTTCAAACCCGTTGCGATGTAGGCCCCAGTGGAAAGCCCAGGACGGACCCAAGAGGGCCCGTGGAGAGCCCAGGACGGACCCAAGAGGGCCTCAAGCTGGCCCGAAAGGGCTTCCGGAGGGACCCACCTAAGAGGACGCCTGAACGGCCCCACGACGGCCCCAAAAGACCCCCCAGACGGTCACGAAGGCCGCAAGGGAGCCCAAAGACGGCCCAAGCGGGCGTCAAGACAGTTCAAGAGGGCCCTAAGGGACCCCCAATATTGCCCCCCAGGAGCTCAGGACAACCCAAAGACAGACGATTTGAGATCCACGTGTGCCCTGTGGAAGTGAAGACGACATGTGTCACATGTGACGGCTTTCCTCTTAGTCGTCGTCGTCGTCGTCGTCCCCCTCCTCCTCCGCCTCATCATCGTCATCTTCGTCACCATCATCTTATCACCATTATCACCACCACCTTCACCGTCACCATCACCACCATCATCGTCATCATCGTCGTCATCGTCATCATCATCATCATCCTCATCATCGTGCCCATCATCACGATCATGTTTTTCATCCCTCGCGAGTACGGCTTATGGTGTCCTTTCGAACGAGGGCCGCCGAGCATACTGACTGGCACGGTGGCGGGACCTGCCGCAGGCGGCTGGATAACGTCCATTCCCTCTGTTGCACTCGGCAACCAACTCTCTGATATGGGCTTTGTGCTGTGCACTCCCTGCTCCCAGAAGTCTGGGCATTCGGCCGCAAGTTGGAACACCAGCACCCAAGAACCACACAGCGCCAAGAACAATGGAAGTGGGAACCGGGGAACCCAACCGCCCACCGAATTCGGCTCAGAACCCGCAGCTGGGAACCTGGAAGCTGGGAGCCAGGAGTCCAGGAGCCCGGCCGCGTATTGAAATCAACGCCGAATTTTCGCCAAACCTGTCAATGTCCGCTTGGACCTTTCAAGTCCAATCATTGATTGGGGAACAGTCGGAAGGCAAACTATTAAAACGGGTTTGCCTAGCAGGTTCTTCAAACCAAAACCATGAGACAGCAAACTATAAGGTTGCTTGAACCAAGACCATCAGAAAGCAAGTTGCCTGGCAGGGTTTTCGAACCCGAACCATGGGAAAACAAACTATTGGACAAGGCTTGCCTCGCAGGTTTATCGCCCGCTTGTGGAACGGGCCCCGCTTCGTGGAACGATACCTAAGAAAGCCCATTAAGCCCCGAGGCCGACACGAGGCCGCCACTAGGCGGCCCACGATGGCCCCTCTTAGAACCCCAAAAACGCCCAAGAGAGTTCGAAAAGCAGCCAAGAAGCGAAAGCGAACCGAAAATCCGAGCCTTTGTCCCAGGGGTCCCCCAGCCAGCCCCGGAAGACCGGGCCCCCAGAAGGTTCCGCGCAACCCGAGCACGTCGCGGGATTCGCCGAAGGTCGCTCAATGTTCTTATCGCCGCTTGGTCGTGAACGCACAGCTGCGACACCGCGGCCGGAACATGGTCTGAGCAGTGATTGATGCGGCACGGGGCGTCTCGGCCCAATGCGCAAACACCGAAAGAGAGCAACGGTCCGCGACCGGCGTCAACATGCAGTGTCCGCCCACTCCGCCACCTCAATTGCGGAACGCCTGGGGCCCGGGCCAAAGCAGCGAGAGGCTGAAGACGCATGCTGCTGCTTCGGCGGCTGGTCCGCGGGAAAGCTCGCCACCCCGCGCGCGTTCGCCGCCGAGGGGACGATGTGTTTGAGGAGGACGACGCGCTTGGGGAGGAGGAGGGGGACTGGGAGGAGAAAGAGGCTGATAAACTGGAGGAAACACCATGGAGAAACGCGATCAGCATCTCCCCTCGCACAGTTGTTGGGAAACGCGCGTAACCATTCTGGCGCCATCTTGTACTTGCAGAGCAGTATCGTAATTGAAATCACGCGGTGGCCCCATGAAGCATGTACGATAGTATACGCGTGCGAGCTGATGAGTGAGCGGGTAATGATACTTACGCGCGAACGTGTGAGATGATCAGGATGCTTGTGGCCATGGTCTTCAAAACTTGGCAAGTGATTCGCATGCGTTGACGGTGGTGCGCGCGCGTGTGCGCGCGTGAATTTTCGAGCGCAAGGAGAGGGTAGGTGAGAGATGGTGTTGACGGTTTCAGTGAGTGATTGGGCGAGTGAGTGCAGCGTCGAAGTCGTTCCTGATCTTCCTCCCTCCTTCGTCCTGCCCCTCACCTTAGCCCGCCTCGTTTGCTAAACAATCCCTTAGCTTTTGTGGAACAGGCTTGGGGCCTTTGTGGGACAGAGCGGGGCGAGCCCATGGCCATTGTGGAACGAGCCTGCTATTCTCGCGAACGGGCACAGTGCGTTGATGTGCGCAGAGCGTCAAACATGTAAGCTCTTGCGAGAGAATTTCGGAAGGCGCTCGGGGCTTGAGGCAGCGCAGGTCAACGCAGTCCAGCGCAGGTCACGCAGGTCAACGCAGGTCAAACAAGTCAGCGCAGGTGCGCAGGTCAGCGCAGATCCGCGCAGCCCACGCGAGACCCTGCCGAGGAGAGAGCGCGACGCGACCCGCAGACAGACGCGCGTTGACCTGCGGTTACCTGCGCTGACCTGCTTGACCTGCGCTAGCCTGCGCCTCCGTGGGATCGCTTGACCTGCGCTGACTTGCGCTGAATTGCGTAGCCTGCGCAGACATGCGCCTGTGACATTTCCGGGTCGGATCCGAATGCCCTGGACGATTATGACGATGATGATGCTGATGATGAGGAGGAGGAGGAGATGGATGAGGAGGAGGAGGAGGAGGAGGAGATGGATCAGGAGGATCACGATGATGAGGATGAGGATGAGGATGAGGATGAGGATGAGGATGAGGATGAGGATGATGATGTTGCCGTCAAACGGTCCCCTTGTCCGAGTTGTGGGCGTGTTTCCGTCTGGCCCAGCTGACGGAAGGGGACCTCATTTTCATAGGCGATAATGATTCGGTGGTTGCGGGGTTTGTTCGGGCCCCCCTTTTCCACCATGCTGCGAATTCTCCATTTTGGGACTTGTTCTGGCAAGAGTGTGCGGGCCGTCGTGTGCGTGCTGTCAAGATCAAGTTCCATGAGGCCGCGCCGGATGCTGTTTCAGTTCGCCGAAGCCGTTTTGAGTACTGGGCGGCTTTTTTGTGGTTGATAACCTAGCAGAGGAAGCGGCCAGGGAAGCCCAATTCCCTGGCTGGGCCATTGCTGTAGTTATCCGTGTTGATTCGCACAGCAGGAAAGTCCAGGAACATATTCTTACAATTTCACAACACATTGCCAGGAATTTTGCGCAGATTTGTGGCGCTAGCATTGCCGAAGACAGGATGCGTGAGGGCAAGAGATGGAAATCCTAGACGTTTCGCGTAACCTCACCAGCTTGGCCTGGCAATGTGATGCATGTCGGTGATGGTGGACCGCTTCCGACTCCTGGCCCTGGCGCCCCCAGCTCACCGCAGCGCAGCTCGGCGGCTTAAGCAGCTTAGGTTTGACCCCGCGCTTTAGTTTGCTGCTCGCTGTAAATTAGACCGCGCCCCGGACTTACCGACCCGCCGCCTGCGCCTTCGCTTGCGGCCGCGACCAAAAGTAACCCCACCAGCCCATCCAGAAACGATGCCCAGAGGGTTTGCTTCGATCAGGGAAGTGGGCAGCAAACAGAGGAACGGTCCCCCAGTGGTGGCCTCTTGGAGCGTCTTGGGGGCCTTTTGGCGCAGTCCGGACGCCTCTTAGAGCGTCTTGGGTGCCCTGCAGAGCTTCTTGGGGCCCCTTGGGGGTCTCTTGGGGGCCTCTTGGAAGCCTTTTGGGCGCCTGTTGGGGCCTCCTGGGGCTTCCTGGGCGCCTCTCGGGGCCCTTTTGAGGCGCTCTTGGGAGCCTTGGGAGCGTTCTTGGAGCCCTCTTGTGCCATTTGGAGCCATCTTGAGGCCTCGGATGGCCATTGGAAGCGAAAGGGCGAGAAAACCAAAAACATGGATCCCCGCAAGGTTTTGGAAGGATTTTGGCCCCTTCGGGGCCTCCTGGGGGAGCTCTTTGGTCACTTGGAACCGTCTTGAAGCGGTGGGGCCATCTCGGAGGAGATCGATCAAAGGAGAGGGGTTCCTGAATTAGCCTTGCGCCCCCCAAGAAGCCAAACTGAGGCCAAAACCCTAGTAAGAACAATAATGTTGGTTTCCTCGCCGAGGCCGTTTTGGACGCCCTGATCGCCCGCGGGGCGCCCCGTCCAGGTCCAGGAAAGCGGGTGGGGGGAGGGGTCAAGTGAGAGCCAGAGGGCTCCGTCCACTCCCACCCGCCCTCCCACAACATAAGAAGCAAGTGCGTGGCGTCCGACCCCTGTCGCTCATCTTATACCGTGGGCGGCTAGGGGTTCAGCGCAACATGTCCAGCGCGCGCAGTGCGCCGCGTCTCATTCCAGCCACGCGTGTTGCACCGCCAATCGTTTCGCTCCTGCCGCGCATGGAGAAGGGGGAGGAGGGGGAGGAGGGGGAGGAGGCGGAGGAGGAGGAGGAGGGGGGGGAGAGAGGGAGGGAGGGATAAACCGAGGGGGACGAGGATAATGCCTCTTGGGGATTCGCGGGGCGTCCTGGGAACTTTCTGGTATGCGCCTGACGGCCTCTTGGATATATCTTCCGGCTTGGAGCATTGCCAACACAAGTAGGTGTTAACCTCACAATTCTTCAAACACCAAATGAACATCAAGATTTGTGTTGCCCTCCCAGGATCTCCTGGACGCCTTTTTGTCGACCTCTTGGGGGTCTCTTGAGGCACTTGAGGCATTATGACTTGCCGCCCGCCCAGCTCCTCAACCCGACGGGCCGCAGCGTCGACGACAAGAAAGTCCATGTTGACAAGCAGGCGTCCCCGCGCGATGCGCGCCGCGTCCCATTCCCGTTGCGCGATTCGCAGCGCCGACGAGGAGAAAGTACATGTTGGCCAGAAAACGTCGACGTACGTTTTTTTGGCAGGTAGGACGGGGGGTCCCGCGTAGGGTTGACCAGGCGTTCGCGCGCGATGTGCGCCGCGTCCCATTCATGCTACATGTTTCCCAGCGTCGACGACAAGAAAGTCCATGTTGTCGAGAAAAACGTTGACTTTGTATTGTTTCCAAATAGGTAGGACGCGACCACCCGCGTAGGGGTTACTCGAGCGATGTTCATTCCGTCCCATTCTTGCTACACCTTTTCACAATTCGTCGACATGCTGGCGAACAAAAAAATAGAGTTTCTGTTGTTTCTTCACAGTTAGGACGGCGGTGTTGTTATCGGTCGGCTAGGTGGTGGTTTGGGGGTGTTTAGTCAGAAAAAGTAAGGATAAATCCCACCCCCCCAAAGGGGAATAAAAGGGGGTTGGAAGAGGAGCCGCCCCCCCACTCCCCGTCCTCCCCCATCGCCCTCCCCCTCCTGTCCCCCTTCCCGCCTCCGCGGCCGCAGCAAGGCTGCGCAAGGGCGCCGCAAGGGCGCTGGCGCAGCAGTCCCAGCTGGACCACGCGCGGCATTGAGGACCGCAGCAGGAAGGGAGGGAGGAGGAAAAGAAGGTGGAGAAGGAGGAGGAGGAGGGGAAGGAGGAGGAAAAGGAAGTTAATGACGATACTGCTGCTGCTAATGGTGATGTTGATGATGATGCTGATGCTGGTGATGAGGAGGAGGATGGTGGTGTTAATGATATTGGTGCTGTTGATGATGATGGTGGTGGTGATAATGTTTAATGCTGATGGTGATGCTGCTGATGATGATGTTATTGATGGTGATGAGGAGGATTACGACCGCGACGACGACGACGCTGGCAGTGCTCATATTGATGATGATGCTCGTGATGATGATGATGCTGATGATGATGATGATGACGATGCTGATTGATGGTGGTGATGATGATGTGGATGATGGTGATGGTGGTGGTGCTGGCGATGCTGGTATGATGATGATAACCATGACGACGATTATGATGATGGTGATGATGATGACGATGGTCATACCTATTATGCTGATGATGATGGCAATGATGATGATGTTGTTGATGATGATGATGATGGTGAAGCTGTTGATGATGATGCGCATGGTGTCGATGGTGATGATGGTGGTGGTGGTGATGATGTTGATGATGATGGTGATGAGTATGATGATGGTTGCGGTGGTGATGATGGTGGTGGTGAGGGTGATTACGCTCATGAGGAGGAAGAGTGGGAGGAGGATACCCATAATGATTGTGGTGATGATGATGATGGTTGTGAAATGATGATGCTGAGAATGATGCTGCTGCTGATGATGATGATGATGGTGATGATGGTGCTGGTGATGATCGTATGATGATGGTGATGGTAATTGTGATACTGGTGAACACGACGACGACGATGAATGTGATGCTGGTGGTGGTGGTGAGGGTTATTCTGATCATGGAGCGCATGGTGGCGAGGAGGAAGGGACAGAGAAGGGTGTTGACGATGGTGGTGGTGATGCTACTGATGATGATGATGAGGAAGATAATCTGATGATGAAAATGAAGATGAGGATGCGGAGAGTGAGGATGCGGATGATGGTGATGATTATGATGATGATGATGACGATGATGATGCTGATGATGATGGTGGTGGTGATGGTGGTGATGATGATGATCATGATGCTGATGGCGGTGGTGGTAAGGAGGAGGATGAGGAGGGAGGGGAGAGGAGGGGGGGGAGGGGAGAGCAGGGAGGAGGGATGAGGGATGGGAGGAGGAGGAGGAGGAAGAGGATGAGGAGGAAGAGGAGGAGGAGGAGGAGGAAGCGGAGGAGGAGGAGGAGGAAGACCAGAGTGAACCCAGGATGCATCAACGATGCTTCAATACACCTTCACGACCCAAGTCCCCTTCCTTCTACAGGTATTCCTCGCCACTGCGTCAAGCACCCCCCCATTGAAAGACGAGGTCAGACATCCATGAGAGGGCCCCGTTGCCAAAATGCACTGCCCTGCACCATTCTAGCCATAACGACTGCGGAGAGGTCGGATCATCGGGATCAAGAAAGCGAAATCCCCGCCTTGAAAAGGAACCGCCTTCCTTCCATGTAAATGCGTTTCAGGGCGTAGTAAGTGAGAGTCACCTTTAATCACGCACACGAGATTCATCAGTGCAGCGGACGTGTGGACTTTCCGAGACCCCTCGTTGTGACGCCGCGTTTCTCTACGTTATTATTGGAGTTGGTAGACGATGGTGAGACGAATGAGCGCGGTGCTAAGGCGAACGCCATTTTTCGAAAAGGAACCGCCTTGCACATGTGCAGCCTTTTTTGGCATGTGATGCTTGCGCGGCGTCGCGGCGAGGGGTACGCTTTGAAAAAGGACGCCTTCCATCTTTGAGCGTAAGTTTGTCGACGACCGTGGGCGCGGCCAACGCGAGGGCCCTATATTGAAAACGATCCGCTCTTCTGCCTTGAAGTTGTTGCAACCTTTTACAACGAACGTGCGTCGTGCAAAGGCGGGAACCGCAGTTTGGAATGCCTGCCGCCTCCCATCCTCATAGTTGTTGCGAATGTCACGCTTCAAGGTCGCAGAAGGTGAGGACGCAGCCTTGCGAAACGCGTGGCCCGCCCTACCAACACATGTCCAGTGGTGAGACGAGAAGGGTTGACTGCCAGGAAGAGGTATTGAGAAGCATCAGCAGCAGGATGATGACGAGGACGAGGCGCAAGAGAACGAGGAAGAGTGCGCGGGTCTGGAAAACTGGTGTAGCAAGGCCCCCTCCCTCATCTGCCCCTTGACCTCTTCTGTCGCTTCTCTCCTCCACTGCTGATGCCCGACGTCTAACTCTTCAACTCGTCCCTGGCCCCATCCCGCCATCCCACTTTCTCTACTTGGCGGCGATCCTTGGGGGGGAAGTGGGAAGGGGTGGTGGGCCTTCTCAGAAGGCTCGGAAGTCGCCCAGCGCTTTGAGAAGGTGCCTAAGCCTTCCCCCGAAGACACTGAAACCTTATCAGGAGCCCCGAGGGCTTCTGAGAAACCCCGCCGCCTTCTGAGAGGACCTCCTCCTCCGTTTCACCCCCCCCCCCCCCCACCCCACATGGCTCGCCGCCGATCTACTTCCCGCATCCCCCGTTCTCTCCGTTCCCCTCCCACTCCTGATTCGTTGGGGGTGGGGGGGGGGCAGATCAGAGCGGGGCGACCCGCAGCCCGCGGCCACGCGGGAGGATGTTCGGACACCGTTTGTTGAAGCATGGGCTTTGGAATTCAACACCCCCCCCTCTTCCCCATGTCTCGTTCACCCATTGTTGTTGTTGAAGTTGTTGTTGTTGTTGTTGTTGTTGTTGTTGTTGTTATTGTTGTTGTTGTTGTTGGTGTTGTTGTTGTTGTTGTTGGTGTTGTTGTTGTTGTTGTTGTCGTTGCTGTTGATAATGTTGTTGATGTTGTTGTTGTTGATGTTGGTGTTGTTGATGTTGGTGTTGTTGTCGTTGTTGTTGTTGGTGGTGTTTTTGTTGTTGGCGTTGTTGTTGCTGTTGGTGTTGTTGTTGCTGTTGTTGTGGTAGGTGTTGTTGTTGTCGTCGCTGTTGTTGTTGTCCGTGGTGTCGTGGTTGTTTATTGTTGCTGATGTTGCTGCTGTTGCTGCGGCTGGTGGTGATGGTATTGGTGTTGCTGCTGGTGTTGGTGTTGTTGGTGTTGGTGCTGTTGGTGTTGGTGTTGTTGTTGGTGTTGGTGTTGGTGTTGGTGTTGTTGTTGTTGTGCGTCCTCTCTATCTCTCTCTCTCTCTCTTTCTCCCCATATTCCCTGTTCCTCCTGGCATTGCCCCTCCGTCTCTTCCTCCCGCGCACGCCCATTCCCGACCTTCCACCCCTTCGAAGCCAGTCCCCAAGCCCCTCCTGGGCACCATCCCGACCCGCGTTCCGACTTCACGCCCGAGGCTCCCCGAAGGCCAAAGAGGAGGATGAGGAGGAGGATGAGGAGGATAGAGACTTGACGAGTGTAAAGTACTTGTTGTCGCCTTCGATGTTCACGCCGTTGGCGATGACTGGATCCTGTTATGCTTGTTGCGGTTTGTGCATGTCTGTGCCACAGAGTGCCCGCGAGGAGGACAAAGAGAAGGAGGAGGAGGAGGAAGAGGAGGAGGGAGAGGCGTAGAAGAGGGGAGGCGGGGGAACAGGAACAGGGCACAGGAGGGGGAGGATGATGATGAGGAGGAGGAAGAGGAGGAGATGGAGCATGAGGAGGAGCAGGAGGAGGAGGAACATCGACAGGAGGTGTGGCGGAAGGAGATAGAGGATGATGATGATGATGATGATGATGATGATGATGATGATGATGATGATGATGATGATGATGATGATGATGATGATGATGATGATGAGGATGATGGTGGTGGTGGTGGTGGTGGTGATGATGATGGTGGTGGTGATGATGATGACGCTGATGCTGATACTGATGATGATGATGATGAGGAGGAGGAGGAGGAGGAGGAGGAGGAGGAGGTGGAGATTGAGGAGGAGGAGGAGGAAGAGTATCGACAGGAGGTGTAATGGAAGGAGGAATGGACGGATGATGTTGATGATAAGCAGGAAGAGGAGGAGGAGGAGGAGGAGAAGAAGGAGGAGAGGACGAGGTGGAGCATGAGGAGGAGGAGAAGGAGGAGGAGGAGGAGGAGGAGGAGGAGGAAACGTATCGACAGCAGGCGTGGTGGAAGGAGGAGCAGGAGGAGGAAGAGGAGAAGGAGAAGGGTCAGGAGGAGGGTCAGGAGGAGGAAGAGGATGAGGAGGTGGAGGAGGAGGAGGAGGAGGAGGAGTAACGGGGAAGTGCAGGAGAAAGAGGGGAAGGAGGAGTAGGAGGAGGAACAGGTCGAGGAGGAGAAGGAGGATGAGGAGCAACAGGAGGAGGTACAACAGGAGGAGGAAGAAGCCTCCCCTGGTCGCCCCCCCCCCCCCCCCCGCAGGGCCGACAGGCGCCGCCCCGGCCAGCGCCTGGTGGAATCAACAGTGCATGACCCGCGAGAAGGAAGGAAGGAGGATGAGGATGAGGAGGACGACGATGAGGAAGGATGACGAAGGAGGATGAGGATGAGGTAGGAGGAGGGGGAGGAGGGTGAGGGTGAGGAAGGAGGATGAGGATGAGTGTGAGGAAGGATGATGAGGAGGATGAGGATGAGGTAGGAGGAGGAGGATGAGGATGAGGACGAGGATGAGGAAGGAGGATGAGGAAGGATGATGAGGAGGAGGAGGAGGTAGGAGAAGGGGAGGAGGAGACAGGAGGAGGATGAAGGATGATGCTGCTGATGATGATGATGATGTTGATGTTGATGCGGCTGCTGATGATGATGATGGTGATGATGATGAAGATGAAGATGAAGATGAAGATGATGATGATGATGATGATGATGATGATGATGATGATGATGATGATGATGATGATGATGTTGATGTTGATGCTGATGATGATGATGCTGATTCTGATGATGATGATGATGATGATGATGATGATGACGATGACGATGACGATTACGATGCCGATGACGATGGCAATGACGATGACGATGACGATGACGATG